TATAAGGCATCCCCCCGATAATAAGACCTCCCCGATAATAAGGCATCCACCGATAATAAGGCATTTTTCATTTCTGAAAAATAAGACATCCCCTGAAAATAAGACCTAGCGCATCTTTGGGAGCAAAAATTAATATAAGACACTGTCTTATTTTCGGGGAAACAGGGTAGTTCGAACTTACCGCCGTCCAGACCCGGCAGGCAGGCTCCCCCGTCGACTCGCGGCAAGCAGGATTACCGGAGTCGACGGGGAGCACTTCTGAGTTCGATTTATCGCGTCCAGACTAGACGCGATAAATCGAACCCAGAAGTTCGATTGCCTGCCGCCGAACCAGCGCGGTAAGTATAGACAAGCCCTGAGAGTAAGCCAAGAGGTTGCCAATCTTCCTTCAGTCGCTCTCTATAATCCCAGTAATACTCTGCTACGTCAGTCCCAGGGCTCCACAGAGGAGTGACCCCACCTACATCTGGCCCAAAGCGATGAAGGGAATTGGTGTCCGGAGTTGGGATTAGAACTCAGGATCTGGTTCTGCACTCCTAATCCTGTGTGTAAGTCCTGGTCTGCTTCTCTTAATGTCTTGATGAGCCTCCAAATGGAACGCACTGCCCCTGTATAGAGAGCTGGCCCCAGAACTAAACTGTGATGTGAAAGCGTCAGCAAAACGAGATGCTGAAGAAATTTATCCCTTAACCTATTTTTCCCTTCCCTCACCCAGTAGGATACTGTTGAGGATGCAGGTGAACCCGTTGCATGTGCTAGAAGTGCTGTGTAGCAGGTGAACCTGTCCAGGTCTCAGTAGTCACTATGCAATTTTATCTCTTTCCCTGAGTGCATTAACAAATGCTAGAGCAGGCAGCAGTGCAGTCTGGAGAGCAAACCTCCCCTTCGCATAAAAATACCTGCCACTGATGGCTGGGTGTGTGCTCTGGACTGAACCTATTTAAAGCTTTTGCCATAATAGGAGCTAGTGTCTAGCCCTAGTTAGACTCTGGCTTTGTAAAAGTGGTGTCCCTTGCAGGATATGCAGCTCTTCGCCTGGCAGCCAACTTGTTACTCTGGATTGCTCTTGCTGCCTTAAGACTTGTTGCAGACCCACAAACCCACTAATTTACTAGAGCTGCTGCTCCAAGCCATCTGTTCCCACCATGAGCTGGGGAGAGTGAACATCCTTGATTGTAACTTCAGTCGATTAGTGCCCAGCACTCACCATGCAGCCAGGCTGACTTTTTCCTTGCTCTCCAGGGGGGTGACTCTTATTTTTAAATGATTTTTCCATGTATTGATTCCCTTTGCACAATGGCTTGAGCTGTCTTTCCATCATTACCTTACTTTAAGGGCTCACGAAATATCTTACTACATTTGTCAAATAGCTGTAGAGATCTTGGGGGTGGGAGGGGTGGCGGGGAGAGCGGTGGTCCTCGTTCCTTAGGGAGAAAGGTGGGGGGGGCTTTGTGTGAACACCAAGGGCAGTATTAACCAACTCAGACTTGAAAAAACAAAACCAATCCCTTTCCCTCCCCCCCCCCAAACCAGCACAATAGAACCAAACCCCACTTTCTCACTCAAATACTTCACTGTCATTTCGTTAAGGTAGTTAGCTTTTTCTGAATGCTCCTCCCACTGCTGACATCCCCTGCATCCCAAGACAAAGAGTAAATCATTAAAATCTAAAAAATAATCCCTACCTCCCACACAGTTTTTTACCTGAAAAGGAAGAAGAGCCAAGACTTCCTGGAGTCTGCTAGGGACTTGGCTATTGCTGTTGATTTTACAGGTCTCCGTATGTTAGGGAGAAGGGTGGCAGTTTAAAACTCTAAGACAGAGGGATAGTTGTTTAATTTGGACACTGGTGCATCCAGGGAAAAGCCATTAAAGTAGGGTTACCATATTTTAAGCCTCCAAAAGGAGGACACTCCACGGGGCCCCGCCCCCAACTCCGCCCCTTCTCCAAAGTCCCCGCCCCAACTCCGCCCCCTCCCCTGCTTCCCGCGAATATTTGATTCGCGGGAAGCCTGAAGCAGGTAAGGGAGGTGTGGGGGGAGGAGACACGGCCCAGTCTGGCCCCCCCCCCCGGCGTCTCCAGCCTGGGTCAGCCCGCCCAGCACTGCTGGTCCCCGGCAGAGCACCCCCGGCCCGCCCAG